ATTATTATTATTATTATTATAATTATATTATTACTATTACTATTATTATTATTATTAGTACGAATGAGAGTCGAAATGAAATCAATTTATAGGAAAGGCAAATATGGAGTAATGCTGAATTGATAACTGGAAGTGATGATGCAGTAGAATCGGTGGCAAGTTTAATTCCAGTTGATACAAACATAAATCAACAATTGAAAACATGTAAATCGTTCGGTACACATTACCGAGAAGCAATCCATGGTCCACATGCCAGTTTCCGACTCAGAGTGCTTCAGGAACAACGTATGCAATCGGTAAGGATGTCTTTTTACATCGTCGTTTCCATCGTAACCTTGATAATTATAACTAATATGATTATTTAATCAGTAAACTGAATTACAAAAATTTCTACATGCAACCCAAAGAAATTCATTAGGTATTTTTTTCAAAAGAATGAAGGAGCAAAATAAAGCGAAAACCGATACATTAATATCGTTCCGTTTTTTCAAAAATTAATGATTAAAATTATGGCATTTGTTTTTCGAAATCATTTTCTTTACGAAAAAAATGAGAAAAAAGCTCTTGAATATTTTTCAAAAATATTAAAATAGAGTAAAATTTAACATATTCATGCATTTTTTAATAGAATTTCATGCCAAAAGGAAGTTGTAAACGGCAACAAAAATTAGACGAATTAAAGAAAGACGACTTGAGCAAATTCAAATTCGGAACATATACCATACAAAATGAAAATGAAACATTTGGCGGTAAGTTTGATATTTATGAACCTTTTCATCAAAGCACCAATAACATTTAAAATGATATATGTAATGTTTACATCTTTTCATGCATATTTAATGATGCTTAGATATTTTGTTTACATATTTGTTGCAATGACATGATAAAATGTATATTGATATTATATACATTAAATAGGTATATATATATATATATATATATCTTTAAATAAACACGCAGTATATTCATTTATCAGTGATATGACGACATGATACACTCATATATCAGATTACTTAATCTACGTTTTTCTTAAACATTAATGTTTAGATTATATGCTGTGAACTTATGCTTACTCAAGTTCAGAGTATTTTTGAATTTCATTTTTCTCCTTTTTTTCTGTCTTGTATTATTAAAGAAGAAGAAATGAAAATTATGAAATATAAAACTAAAACGAAGGAGAAGGAGAGAGGCAGAGAGAGAGAGAGAGAAAGAAAAAAAAATCATTTAGCAGTTATTATTCAAAATTTTACTTAGCATTATTATTTAGATGCAAATAATAATGAAAAAAAACTAGGCCTTGACAAATTAATTAATGAATTCATTTATGGAAAAAAAACAGTAACAAAAGCAATTGGGATGATAAATTAACAAAAAATTTTCAATCCAACAACTAATTTTTATTTCGATTCTTTCCATTTTTGCTTTATGATATTTCAAAAGAAATAGCAGTTTAAGGCATAGAACGCTATAATTTACTTTTTATTGAAGTTTTCCATTTAGGTAAACAGTTCAATTCCTGTTGCAATATAATTAATTGTATAGCCACTGTGACATTGACATCTCGAATGTTTCCTGCTTAAATCAAAAATCCGTTTGACATAAATGAATGTATGGAATGGCTAACTTCCTATCTCCCAATTCCTAATATAATTCATTTTTCAGCTTCTTTTTTTATTAGTATAAAATGCAAAATATTACTAAAAGTAATAATTCATTTTATTTTCTCTTTCTATGAATACTTTCTTTTTCTTTCTACTTTTTGAATAGATTGTTAAATAAAATGGTTACATTTCAAAGTTTCACAAATATGATAAATTAAATAATTTACACATTTATTTCAATATAGTACGAAATTTTGCTATCGATAATACAACTAACTGGAAGGACGAATCACTTTTTCATGCATCAATCGATAAATGTCATTAAACTAGAAAAAAAAACGAAGCAAAACAAATACTTCTAATTAAACTTCTTTGGGAGAAACAAATAAGAAGGACAAAAAAGAAAAAAGACATTTGAAATTGTTCTAGTGATAGCAAAAATTTTTTTTCGCTTTTATAATAAGATTTCAAACGGAATTTGAAGTTGTTTATGGCAATAAAAATTTCTTTTGCTTTAATATTTATTATCCAAATTATGGAGCATGTATATTAGTAACAAAATGACATCAGAAATTTAAAATTTTGATGGATCGCGAAAATAATTTAAAAACTTATTCCTTTTTATCAATTAAGAATTACTGCATTTAGACAATAACAACAAATACATACTAAACGACAAAAAGTATTTCATATTTTTAACTTTTGACATATTATGTCTAACTAGTTGATGGTGAAAAGTCTAGTTTAACGCCTAATTACTGAAATTCTAAAAGCACACATTGTATTTACAGTAATCCGCAACTTATTACTACAAATGATAAGTGGAAACTTCAATACCTCTGTATATGTGTACGTGTCCGTCTGTCTGTGTGTGCATTTGTGTGTGTAGACCGAAAATTAGCATATTAACGCAGAAGGAAACTTACGCATATGTAAAGAATATAAAGGAATGAATGATTAATGAGTTTGTCCCTTTTGATTTATTGGTCCATTCGGTCTTAGATTGCTTGTTCGTTTGGCCCGAAATGGATGTTAGGTTAGGAAGCCAAGCCTAATAAGGACCATTTAGTTATTTACGCAAACCGCACTTAACTTAGTCTCTTTCCTCCTGTTTATAAACAATTCAAGAAATTGAAATTAAAGAATATAGGAAAGAGCGAAGAAATAGTTATTCTTTATTTCCACCGGAAGAAGCCAAACTCAATGAAAGGAGCGGGTATTGTCCCGCGTAAGTCAGGTATTATACAATTATTTACTACTCACTTTCTTTTTTTTATCCTTACCTTTCTTAAAATTAAACGGCACATAAATAATGCATTAAACTGTTTCTTTTCCTTTCCTTCCTTCCCTTAGTACTTGCCTTAGTTAATTTCAACTTTATTTAATGAATTTATATTGTAGTAAATTGAATCATTTCAATGTTTCCATCTCAATTCATAACACGGAACTCTCATAATTTTTTTTCTAAAAAAATGAGTAATAAGGACTGAATCGAGTCGAACTGAATTGAAATGAATTGAATAGGATTGAATTGAATGAAAACGCTTAATACGGAGAAAGAATGAAGAAAACAATTTATTTGACACTTTTTCATACATAGTCTATTAAAGTTCTATGAAAGTTATAGGTCAAAAATTCACGAAATCTTATACAATTGTTTTTTTTTCAAATAAATTATTTTCTTCATGATCTTTTATGATTTTTTCATCTTTTGTGATAAGTTATAAAATATTTTATTTTTCCTCTTTTCCCTTTCTCTCCTTCCGTCTAAATGTTATTTTTATGTTAAATAAGTAATTTTTAAAAGTTTATGATAAAACTTATGAGCCTAAAAACTAATTTGTATTAAAACAACCAAAAATAGAATACAATAAAATGAAGTACCAAATTAGAAAGCGCGAGAAATTTGAAAAGATAGGAAGGTTAATCGAAGATTATCTTCTAGTGATCTCCACATCCATCTTTGGATTGCGGTTAAAAGTGATTTTCAAGCGGTAAATTACGATTGAAACAATGAAACAGTTCATAAAAGATTGACATGTGTGTGACATGCTTTATTGCATAGAGTACTTAATTGGAATTAATTGAATAGAAATTTTCATGTTCAATAATATTTCTTTAAAATTTAAATTATGCTACCTTTATATCGTAATTTTTTAGCATTCCTTATGTGCAATTCTATAACATTTTGCTTTTCCACTACTCACTAATTAGTTATAAGTATTTTCATATTTCACTTTAATATGTAAAAAAGAATGCAACTTAAAATTTTGATAAATGAAGAAAAACGTACGAATATGAAATATTATAAAATTCAGTTAGATAGAATGCTGGTGACAAGGTGAAACCATGGTTTACTTTAATTTAATTTTGTCGCAAATGAAAAGCATCCATCCATCCATTTTTAAAAATTCATTAGTAATACTTCAACTATTGTCTTGAAATCACTTTTAAACTGCGAAAAATTAATAATAAAAATCATCGGGAAAAAATTGGAAGAATTATATTAAACAAAAATCATTTTAAATTTTAATATCAAATCAAAATTTCTAAATGTTAGCAGATTTCTTGATTACTTTCTTATTACTTTCATTAATAAATAACATCATAGAAAAAAAGAATTACAAGTCTTTTAAATTCCTTGGTGCTGAAAATTCCGGAAATTTTCATCTGTCAATACTTCTTGCACAATATTTCTTAAGTTCGAACAAATGTAAAATTGAAAGATTTACAAGGGATCAGATGGGGAGGGATGTTCGCTCAAATAATAATAATGAAAAACCCGCATTATAAAATGGAAATTTAGCGCCTATTAGGGACAGTAGCATTAACAGTAATGTGGGGATCATCTAGAAGACATTGCATATTTTGATAAAACTAATCAAAATGATAAATTTTTAATTATTTTTTCGTGGGATTAATGGAATTTACTTATAGTCATAAAAGAAAATACAAAACATTTTTAATTGTTTTATTTTTATTTTTCACTTTAAAATGCAATCAATTATTAGGCATATTTATAACAGAATTTTAAAATTATAATTTTTGTGAAAAAAAAGTTCATGACGAGGAGATTTTGCAAGGAAATTTCCTTAAAAATTTATGACAAAATTCTTCAAATTCAAAATAACAATTTCAAATCTAAAAGGAAATCGAATTTACAAGAAATTCAAATTTGAACGAAACTTAGATCTATTAATAAGCTCACAGTCAGAGAACATTTTTCTGATCAGTTTTGTTCCTTAACTCCATGTTTTTTTTTTTGTCATTTCTATCCCAATAGCATTGCTTTGTCATTTGGAAAAAACTTTATAACAGAACTTTTCTTTTTCACCCAAATTTTCAGAGAATTCAAAATATGATCAATCTCTTGCTATGCAAAAACTCTATGAAATGATTTCATTAATGAATTTTATCAATTGATGAAGTGAAATAGCATATATTCATTCGTTAAAAATTGAACTTCAATGAAAACTATCTCTCTGCTTATCAATTTCATATAATTTTTAACAATTTTGCATTCTTTTTATCAATTAACTCAATCTCTCTCGTTTCATTTTATTTTATTTCTTGTATTTTTCATTTTTTTTTTTCTGTATTTTCTTTGTTATTTATCATTACTACAGATGAGTTAATTCGACTTCAATAATTTATTTTGTATTACATTAGCAAGTTCAAAGTGTCAAAGGGCATTTGTCCGGTTAATTTTACCTCTTACCTTTATGGGTTTCTTTTTTTTGTATTTCTATCCCAGTAGCACTACTTTGTCACTTGAACAGAAAAAAGACTTTAAAGCAAATTACTACCCAACATTTCTCTCTTTTTTTCTTGGTCTTAGGAATTTTTCTTTTTTTAATTCTCACCTTTTCCTTTTCTTTTTTCTTTTTCTTTCTCCCTTTCTCTTTCATTCTCCTTCCCTCTTGCTTTGTAGCTTATTTAAGCATTATAAAAGCTCAATGAATTGGAAGTTTCTTTCTTTATTAGGCAGCCAAAATTAATTTTATAATCAAATGTTGTGGGGAATAATGGTTAAATTTAATCACAATAAAATGTAATAGCATTATTGTTGAATTGTATTTGCAACATATGAATGTGACCAATAGTATCCTGTGCCAAGATAATTTGGTTTATCCGATCCCAAGTACATACTAGGCTATGGCTCCTTCCCGGACTTAATTTAAAAAATGCAAATTTGCGGAATTCATTCAAGTCAAGTATTCAAGCATAACCCAAGCTAATGTATTTTAACTTTTAAATTAATTTTCCGCCACTGTGATCATTTCGATCATCGTTTCAATTCCATTTTTTCCTTTTTCATTGGCTTTTTCTTTTCAGTTTGGAATAAAAAAATGGAAAAGTTGAAATAGAAATCGAAACTGCATCTTTTAAGTTAAAATTTTCCATTTTATTCATTTCATTCAACTTATCCTCTAATATTTATAGACAAAGAAACGATTTGCATATTATTATGTCCTTAATTTATTAGGTCTAAAATAATTGGCAAACTTCGATTTGTTTCAACTTGATGTTCCAATTTGATTATTTCAATTCCAATATTATTAATTTCAGCATTATTTGTGTATTTAACATCCACTCAGCTTCCGTCCAACTTCTTCAGAGAACATTTTTACTGCATTTTGTTCCAATTGTTATTTTGCTTTATGCTAGCTTCTCTCATTTACGTAATGTATTCCGAACCTAATTTTTTCTCATTTTTTTTAAAAAACGGGATTTTCAGCTTTGGCTGGAGGGATCTTTATGTCATAT